AAAGTTGAAACATAATTTACAAAAATAATTATACATACCTATAGGTACTGCGGTGTTTAAGTATATTATATAACACCACACTATACTACCTAAGAATACAAATGTTTAAGTCAGCAAAGCAATTTATTTATGTCTATGTTTTACAAAATAGTTTTTTATTGTGAAAAAAAGCTTCAATCGTCAGAGGATGGTTCTGACAGCAAGTTTGATGTAGATTGTACTAAAGGAGTTAAAAATATAAAATTCTCAATACTTTTAAAAATAATCAGAAAAATCAAGAAAATTATGGAAAAATAATTTTGAGAAAAACCAAATATTTTTTTTATCTTAGGTATTAAGTAAACATTGTTCAAATGTGAAAATATAATATTCTGTATATAGAAATCAACTTATTGAACTTTTGATCTTAGGGTTAAAATAACTGACATAATTTCGTTGTTTTATTTAAGTACTTTATAATTATTGAAAATTAATTTAAAACTTGTATTATATTATAAATAAAAATACGTGAATTTAAAAAGAATTAATTAAATAGAATTTTAATTTAATGTAATTAATTGTTAAGTTTTTGAAGGAAAAAAATAATAAATTGATAAACTATATTTTACTTTTCATCAAAATTTAATTGATATGCGTACATTTATTTTGGTCCTTTGTCTGCATTTTAAATTATAAAATCAAATAGGTACTTTCTTCGTTTTGTTTTATTAGTAACTAAAAAAAATAACAAAACATCAACACAATATATTATACTATAGACGTTTGTACCTGAGAATTGTATTAAAAATGTTTAAACCTAAAACTTCCATGAAGTAATTTAAAATGTGAAGTGAAAAATATCAGCTAATTCTTATTAATTATGTAAATCCAATATTTAAATTAAAATAATATTAAGTAGTCTATACTCCATACGATATATATTTTCATACATATTTGTTTATCATTATTTATTTATTTGATATATATTATAGATTGTAATAGTATCCCTTTAAAAATCGGAAAATATTCAATTAAGATTTCTGGTGAAATTATTATATAGGTAGGTCTAATATTGATGTGTATAGCTTATAATATACAATTCAAAATGATGCTATATTATATATATGGAGATATGTAAACGTTTAGGATGAATTTTTGTCGTTGGTATGTTTTATATTTTTTATGGAAAAAATAGTAGTAATAATAACAACAACGACGATAAATATGGCACTATTACTTACACCGCGTAAACATAAAAAAATAAACAAATATAATAATATTACAGCTCTGTTTTTAAATTAATCATATTATTATACTATTATTATTTTATCACGTACTTGAACGTGAGCGGCGAATGCGGTGGCGAGTACTGGGATGGCGACAATCAGCAACAGATGGTTCATGGTGGTAAAAACGTGTGGTTCCCGACGGCGTGTCCCGCGATACGTGGTTTCGGTACAAATGACAGTGTCCAAATGCCGACTACCCTTTTATACCAACCACCGCTACCACCGCCGCCCACACCCACGAACAACCCCTCTTGGATGACGCAAAGGGGGTGACGGCACGCGGTCGCAAAACCTATAGTCGCAAAGACTGTACCGCGCACCACTACGATATTACAATAATATGATATTACTTACCTATGTATTAGTAAGTTATAACTTAAAATAAAAAATATTTTAAAATATTTATTCTGGGGAATCGAAACTTTCCGCCATTAAATTAGTCATTTGTATAGGTTTCTGTTTGTTCGTCTTTAAAATAATCGTTTGATGACGGAATAATTATGAGTATATTGTAATAATATATTAACAGGAGTTGAATATAATAGTGTGTAAGGACACTCGAAACCGAAGTTATAAATTACAATTGACGTTTTTACATTACCTGCTATTGACTTGCATAGTTTACAATAAAAATTATAATCACATGTAGGCCGAGTACACATTTTCCCTTGTTTGTGTAATAAGTATTATATACATTTTATGAGTTGATAAAATTCGAGAAAACCCTAAATCCTAAATTTAGAAATATATATTTTTAGTCTCAATTCGTATTTATAATACTGAAGTTTTAAAAAAAAAATTAATTTGTACAAAATAATAATGCTAGGAATTCCATCATATAACCATTTCGAAACTCTGAGCCCAACTTTGTTGAAGACAACTTAAAGTCAACAGCAATTAATTATAAAATCATCTTATTTCTCAAAAATATTTATAATATGTATAAGTTAATCCATGAAAACCCGTGTATTTATTCATAAGTAGCATTAATATTAAATATTTTTGTAAGCTAATAATCTAAGTTGTTGAAGCTGTACCAAGAATAAAAAATAAAATAAATAATAACTATTAAATATGCCTGACGAATTCGATCAATAAAATGTATAAATTAAAAATGTTTTAATATTACAACAATAAGTAGGTAGGTATTAATTAGTCTGCGTTTTCGTTCTTTATCGTTTACCCGCAGTAGCTACTTATACGTAAATACCGTAAATTTAATTTAAATTTAAATTATTATGCCAATTTGATATATTATTATTCCTTTTGCAAAAAAATCCAAACATTGTTAAATCTTTGGATTCTGTGAGTTTTATTTTATATATATTTTTTTTAAATATAAAGTCACATAACACGAAAACTAAATTCAAGGCATCAATTACGTATGTGGTATTAGTTTAAACGTCGTGTATAAGCCACTGCGCCCAGACAGCATTTTTTAATGATAATATTATCAAACAAAAAATTGCTGTCTGGGCGAGGTGAGTCTGACAGACTGACCTACGTCTACGGACCATCGCACGAGCACCGCGGCAGCCGTTTTCTGCGTATTATTTCACCCAGAGCTCTGCGGGTTCCAGTCGTTCCGACCAGTGGATGATCCAGAGGGTGGAAAAAGGGGGCATTCCGCCCCATCACCGTAATTTCCCTTTATTTTGCACTATGTTTAGCCAATTTTGTATCAAATGTTTGTACTACCCCCGCCCAAAAAATTAAGCCCTGGATCCACCACTGGTTTCCAGTGGTTAGGACTCCCTACAACGCAATCGAAACCAATTTCCGATCGAAGCTTACCCCCCCCCTGAAACTGTGTTAGGAAGCCCCCACGAGTACTATTGGCTTGCACCACGATTGTGCTCGATATACGCTCCCTCCCCCACCTCTCAATATTATAACACTTCATTGCTAGAACATCGACTTGTAGCCGTGTAGGACACGGTAGAGAATCGTCCTCCCGACTTAAGGGAGAAGGCGAGAGGTCAGAGCCAGAACTGCGCCACTCGCCGGTTTGTCCCGGAGACAATATGTATGGATAATTAATTATATATTAATTCTCCAATTACCAGCCGTCTCGTGCGCAATGCTGACCCTTATTTCCCTCTTTAATAAACAAGCCTATAGTTTCTGTTGAGTATTAATTTTATACTTCACTATACTACAGCACTTATGTAACGGACTCGTTCCGATTTGTAAAATAAATTAATACTTTCGTGACCTTCGATAGTTCGATACAGCAGCTCGTCCCGAAGTATGTAATCCAGCGGTTTTGCTCCACAAAGCGTCATGGGTCGGTGGCCTATATGGTGACCACCCCGCGTGGGTGAGCATATTACCATACTGAATTTGTTTTTATTTCGGCCGCTTTCTTCTCAGCTTAAAAGGTCATCTTACGGCCTCCACACACTTAAAAGGAAGCAGTCCAGGGTGTATCATCGAAAGGGGCAGCTGTCTGCCGTCGTGTTTTCAATATCCCGTGGCAACCCCCTCTCTATAAATGGTTATTAAGGACACCCGCTATCCACGATACCTCCAGACGCGATCTACCTATACCATATACCTAACGAATACGAAACCACGGTTTGACGCCCTTTGCGCGCTTGACTGTGATTTTGCTGGATACAAAATATAACAGTCCAAAAATCGTTATTGTACTATACTATACTATGTCTACTATAATACCTATCGTCAATATATCACATATATAGTCGTAATAAAGACTTTATGATTCTATTATAGTTCATACATATCAATTTGTTCCATTGAGCTATACTCTTAGAAATCTATATAATTTGATAATACAGTAGGTAGGATAAATATTAAATGTATATAACATAAGAATTAAGAAATACTGAGAGAAATATTTCCATGTATAATTAGAATCAGGATAATAAATTATTATATTATATACATTTAAACGAACAAACCTCGTATTTTAATCAACGTAAATTTAATTTAAGTCATAGAATATTCATTACACAAGTAAAAAATTAAAGTATAAAATAACTAATTGAATTACAATGGCGTATTTAAGACTTTTCAAATGGGCAAATGGTATTTTATCAATTATCAAAACACTTATAATTAATAAAAATACAAATTTTAATTACCTCTTTATTTATACCTTCTCCCCCCACGTACGATAATATAATAAAACATGAACTATTATGGTAATAATATATTATATATTATATATTATATATTTATTATATTATATTAATGGTGTATAATTTTAAAAATAACTTGCGCCGTTACATTAGTGTTTTTGTTGTTATGGATTCAAGTCAAAACAAAATACTAAATTTTTGGAATAGATTAGGTGCACAGTATACTGTACGGTTTAATAATATAAACGTTTCATTATTATTTATTGACCCTCTAGAATTTGTAATTTAAGCATACTTGTACAAAAAGCTGTTAGAAACTGCTGAGTTTCACTGTTTTAATGAAAAATCTTCTGTCTAGGCATTTGCGTAGACTGTTCTCAGAGTTCAAAACCAAATTAATCAAATTGTAATATTATACATAAAACTTCAAAATCCACATTTCACCGTTAGAATGATAATAAAGATTTTTCGAAGACTTACACATTTTCACCGAAATGGCTAAAAAAAAACAAATACAATTTTTTACTCTTACATAATATTTACTTCAAAATAAATTGTAAGAGCTTTACTATTATTCCTACTTACGATAATCATAAATTATATAACTATATATGGAGGTAATATATATTCATGGAATGCATCCGTCCCACTGGCAACCGTTTTCCAGCGCGTATTGCAGACATTGGTCATGTCCGTTTGACGCGGCCTCGTCACACGTGGACATGTCCCAAAGGCAGCCGTTATTGTGCGCGTACATTAGACAGGGCAGGTGGCCGCCGGCCGCGGCTGCTTCGCATGTTGTGCTGCCCCACAGACAACCGTTTTCGTGGGCGTACACCAGACATGCCAGGTGGCCGTTGGCCGCGGCTTCCCGGCACGTGGCCGAGTCCCAGGGACAGCCGTGGTCGTGCGCGTACCGCAGTACGTCGATGTGCCCACCGGCCGCGGCCGCCTCACACGTGGCCGCGTCCCAGGGACACCCGTTGTCCTGGAGGTATGCTAGACACTCGAGTTGGCCACGACCGGCCGCTTTCTCGCACACGATCCAGTCCCACGGACAACCATGTTCCCGGAGGTACGCCAGGCACTCCAAGTTTCCGTTGGCCGCGGCGTACTCGCACACCGACTCGTCCCACGGACAGCCCCGGTCGCGCGCGTACTTAAGGCACTCGAGCTGTCCGCCGATGGCAGCCTGGACGCATATGGTTCGCGTCCACGGGAACCCGCGACTTTCGGCGAACGCCAAGCACTCCATGTGTCCACTGGCTGCGGCCTTTTCGCTCATCGAGTCAGTAGTTGTACCGTATATGTCATCGTCGTCGGACGATGTGGCTCGAAAAGAGTTCGACAACAGGTATGAAGGGGTACTGTCACGGTGTGAGATTGCGGTTGACCCTTCAAAAAAAATATGACGTTTGACTATTATAACAAATACATTAAACGACGTATTATATGGGAAAATCTTCCCAAAGTCCTGCCACTACTATTTGAATAAATACTTGTGGAGCTCAAAATTCCTATCACCGATCACACGAGCTGCTCAACGTTATTATATTCGATCGATCGATATCGTATGTGCCGGTTCGGATTAAGAGATATAAATGTAATCGACCAGGGTCGTGGTATTTAACTTTTGATTTAAACGACAAATAAGTGACAGAGGTTGGGTTGTGCAAATAAGGGTAAATAGTGCGACAATATTAAAGTTTGCTATTCAGTCCCCTTTTAACCTTCATATTCGTTCAGTCCATATAGTGTACCTTAATATCTTTACATTTACCGTCATAGTTTAAATCAAAATCGTCATCAATATTATTTGATTTTGTCTCGTTCTTCAGGTATCTCAACACATCGATACAGCATGGTGCAATTTCGATTTTTAAAGTCTCCAAATCATCATAAAATGCTCTTTCATCGTCATTGCAAACACAGTACGCTAGCTTGGCTAGAGAAAACATTTTAGAGATCTGCAAAAAAATTAACATTTTAATAATATATTATTAGTATAACAAATACATTCAACCAAAAGTTTTCGTAGGTTCGAATGGTTCAAATCATTTAGTTTAAAAATTTTGAATAACATATTCAAAATATTTTGAATGTTCTAATGTTAAAAAGTGCCTATATAATATAATATATATTATGATATAAGGTTTTCCGCCCCCACTCTTTTTAAACTCGTTGAGATATAAATATACATAGGTACTTATACAGGGTGTAACAGAATGACCTGAAAAAAAAATTGATACTGGTTAAACATATTACATAATAACAACAATCGTGAAAATTATATGAATAGTAAATAATTTCAGAAATATACCAAAATATATAAAAAGAATATTTTGAAAAAAGTTAAAACACATCAAATTAATTTACTCCTAAAAATAATAATAATTAAAAAAATTTAAAAAAGAAACTACTTGACTTAAATAAACGATTTTACCATCAACAATTTGTTTATTAATTAGATTTATAAATTGGTATTTTGAATTTTCCCAAAAAAATTCGAATATTTTTTAAATTTTTTATTTTCAGTAGGTATTTGAAAAAATATGTTGTTGTTTTTTTAATATAAATGACGGACGTAGTACTCTACTTGACATTTTCCACTTCAAACAAAATTTATGATCATAAATATGTTTTATAATGTTATATGCCCACCACTATAGAGACTATAGAGACGCTTGTTTTACAGAATATAATAACGCCTGTATGTAGGCGTCTTATCTTAGATATTTTGCTTATGCGCGACAAGACTATATAGTATCGGTCCTGTCGGCAATTCAGTCTAGAACTCGACTCATTCGAGCTAAGTAGTGAGCTCGTAGTATAAATCATATTTTTTAAAACTAATAAAGTATAATATTCTCATATAAATCTAAAACGTGTATTCTTTTATTAATAAACTATTAAACAACATTTGATTATCACCCGCTACACAGAGAACGGTTTCAACAAATTGTCGTCTTCGGATACAACCAGAGACACAATATAAAATATAACAGAACATCACAGGCATACGCAGTGGCGTTCATAACAATAATTAACCGCATTAGTTGTATATATACCTATTGGGAATTAGATAATTTTTTCATTTTATTCTATACCATCCGACGTCATTAGGTGAATATGTATGTTAAGGTGTTGTCTTGCATCTTTGGTCACTAGTTCTTAGTAAAGCGATGTATTCACGTAGCTAACTATCGAAATATGGTTGACTTTAATAATACTCCTATTTAGCTGTTCAGTGGTGGTTCTAGAGCTATAGATTTTGAACGAACAGTGCAATCTCCTGCACAAAACTGTTAAGTATACAGTTTAATATTAATATACGTTATCTCTAACAAAAGTTCCTATTCTATCGAGAACAAGCTGATTCTATGCATCCTTATTTGACACCTTATATTCGTTAGAACGCAGCATATCTCTCGACTGAGTATACAATTTATAACTCAAATGCCAGTTGTGCAAAAAATATGATAATAGGACTTAATTTGCATTAATCTAAATTCCATAAATAAAAATTGTATAAACCACAAAAAAAATATAATATATTTATATATCATCCATGTTTAGCAACTCTATAACGGTATATATTTCATCATAATGACCATGATCATTTCGGATTGAACCCATATTGAATACAAAATTAAAACTATACTATAGGTTTGTATACCTAATGATCAAAATTTCTCTTAGGACTAAAAAAATTGAGAAAAAATGATATAAATATTAAAATATAAATCACATTAAGCAAATATTTGGTAAAATAATTTTAGCAACAGTAACAGCGATATGTACGTAATTTAAAGTTTAAACCTATATAATAATATAGTAATTTTTGATTCTTGTTGGGTTAGGTTTTATATATTACACTCTATAATACGGTATGCATACAATTAAAGAATTTAAATACCTTTTATATATGTTGTGTCAATCGGTCCGTCACGATTTTACTACCAAATATATCTAGTAGTATCGTCGATTTTATATTCAAAATTTAATCCGAAGATATTTTATTAATATTAAATTTCGTAATTATGCCTACTACTGTGATTTAGTATATAATATTATGATAATATGTAGGCTACTATAGCAGCCAATGATTATTATAACACTGTTGACCATTTTGTTTGGTAACCAATAAAAATATTTAAATATGTCGATTTTTAGTTTGGCAATATATTTATAGAATAATAATATATTATTACATTATAATAATCAATAATGACTTTATTTTATTTCAGATTTTTATAGACTCTTAGTTTAGGTGTAGAAAAGACAAAATAAAGCTTGTGCTTCGCCTTATGGTTGTGGTTTTTTTTTTTGTAAATCAATAAAACAAAATGACAAGCTATAGTTAATTCGTTAAAATGCTGAAAAAAAGTTAAACTTAATTCAATTAGCTACAAAAACAAGGAACATTTTTTTTTCGATGAATAAAGGATAATGTTTGTGTTATATTGTTTAAGTAATTTTTTATTGACTTTTTATGATTAAAAAATCAACAAAAAATAACAAGTATTTTCTATTTGATTTTCAGTAGTTACAAAGAAATGTTGAAATAAAAATACTATAAAGGTATACCTATAAAGTTAAGTACAAAAAATAATACATATTTCCACAAATATTTATCACTTTTACTAAGACAATAATATTCTGAACCCATAGTATATGATTCCAATGAACATTTCGTGCAATATTCATTTAGGAAAATATTTCATTTGGTTTCTGCTATGCCCCATTGCCCCCCTCCCTCTTATTTCCGCTGACGAGTATAATTTTCCGGACAACGGTAATTTGGCCGATAACATAATATAGTAATAACAAATATAATATACACACATGATATCGGTTCGTTAATACGGTGTGTGTGTGTGTGTGTGTGTGTGTGTGTGTGTGTGTGTGTGACACGAAGTCCACAAAACACTTGAACTCAGAGTTAATAATTTTCCACGGGCCGATAGACAATCGAACCGGAAACGCGGACGTCTTCGACTAGGTACACTGGCCACCAATTGCAAACGCACTCATAGGCGTACTCGACGGTTATAATATTATTATGGCAATTAAATGAAATAAATCGTGTTCGTCACGGCGGTGATTATTCACATTACGATGGCGATCGCAGCCGATCGTCGTGTGCATACCTATACGGTTTAAATACGGTCGTCCGAGGCTCAGTGGCCCTACACGGAAGATGAATCGGTTACAAGCAACTACTGTGCTGCTAGTGGCATCGGTGGCGGCAGTGGCGGCCGACGTGGACACTACCGCTGCAGGACTTGGTCAGACGTCGCCGCCGCCTTCGGATTGGTTCCGTGGCTGTGGTGCGACCGACTGGTCGGAGTGCGTGGCCAGGACGTTTAGGCTGTTGGAACAATCGGACCGATTGCAGATAGCCGACGGCGTACGTCTGGTCAAGACGACCACAACGACCGATAGATCTACCAAGTAAGTTTACTAATCATATTTGTCACCCTGAAGTAGTCCCCTTACAATAGATCCGTACTTGATAATATAATATTATACAATAATAACAACTGTTGATACCCAATTAAATAGTAGGTATACAAATTAGAAGTCTATTATATTATACTACCTGCATAGACCCGAATCTCCGATTTGAGGGTTGTTCTCAAGGGGGTAAACGAGGGTTTCATATTATCCCCACTCTCCCACGAGGGACCTATTTACTCCGAAAATTGTTAAATAGGCATACCGCCAATGAATATATTATACGTAACTGTATATGTGAAGTATATTAATATGTATAACCATCAATAAAGTTAATCCCCCCACCACCACCATACGTAAAAGCTGAGCACCCCGCTGACCGAAGTAGTTAGAAAATACTCCAACTGTGCCGGCCAGCAGTAACTACTTAAAAATAAATACCGACCACTACCATATAACATGAAAGATTCAAACAAACAGAGGATTTTTTTTCTTATCAGCTCTATAGATTAGAGATTCAAAATAAATTGTATTTTAGATATTTGTAGATTTTCTGATGATTCGGTGTTTTTAGATAAAATTCCGAACATATTAGGGTTTTCAACAAATTACCATTTTTGGAGTAAACTATAAAGTTCATTGATACTGAAGCTCAGTAATGTCACACTTCCATGTAGGTAATAGATATACGCATTCTAGATCTGCTACTGACGGAATAATAAATTCACATTTTGTTACTCAGTTGTCACCAAACGTATAGTGTATATTTTATAGTAAATGGTTTTTTTTATGACTGAATATATAAATAATAATATAATATGCCATGTGCAAATATTGTATTTGAATTTTTATATTGCATGCATAAAGAAGTTATATTATAGTATTATACCTACTTCTAATATTCAGTAATACCCATAGGTATTTTATTAAAATTATTAATGTCTATTTATTTATTCTAAAATAGTAATTACAAATGTAACGAACTAAATGAACAATTAATCAGTAATAAAATTAGGTCCTTTGTAATAGTGTACAATATGCATAGACGCATAGTATATTACTTCCCCATTTATAGTAGGTACTACTAGGTAGGTCCGCATAGGTAATAACATAGGTACCTACCCCTAATCATTGTATAGCTATAAAATCACGCAGCTCTAAACCAATAACAATCTTTGTCTTGAAAATAATTAAAATAGTTTCCATGGCCTAACGAAATTGATTTTATACTTTTACCACGCTACTATTCACTATTTCACTTTGCTCAGTTATTAATTACGAGTTAATTATTGAAAATTACATAAAATGAATCACAATATTTTTTCCGTATATAACACAGAGATATTTTCGAGAGAAATTTTATAAAATACTTTATACGTGTATGGGTGAAGTTATCGCAAGTAGTAAATTATTATAGTGTTAATTCCCTCGACAAATTAACCACAAGAACTAGGAAACATAATATAATACCTATATTAGTATACTGTTAGAAGTTTTCTCTTTTTCCTAAAAAATACTACACAAGACGCGGAATTCATCAGATGGGTTTTAATAAACCATAATATTTATGCAACTATACAATATTGTCAAACTTTGAAAATGTTCGTAGTATAATATTGTTACATTATTAAATACAGCTACATTATATTATGTAGGTACCTATATTAAATCGTTAGTATAGTATAACTATGTATTATTGATAAGTGAGTTTCATTGAACAATCATTAATTATTAGTTACTAACTGAATTCGACTTTCTGCTTAGATGATAAAACGATACAAAATAGATGCGCTTTAATAAAATATTCAATATTATTCAAATTCAAATGTAGTAATAATATTGTATTATTACTGAAAAATGAAAATACCTACATATTCAATAATCAATATTAGTGGTCCGTATAAACTGTATGTACGTGACTTGGTGTGGGGCAGTGCGTACACTCAACTGTGGAAACACACTGATTGTACGTAAACGGCCGGCGTTGCTAGTTCCCGGATGGGTGATCACCCGGGATTTTTAGCAACTATTCCTTGCCACACATACAAAAACATGTTTTCAATAGTTCCTCTCCCTACAAACAAACAAAAAACCAACAGCGAATGGCCTAAGTTGCCGGGCTCAAGCTCAATTAAAAAAAAAACCGTCATGTACACGAGGTTTCTAATTCTTAAATATATTAAAGATTCTAATCTTTCAAATTGTATTTTTAATTTTGAATAAAAAAAAATTAAATAATAAATGATACATACTTTGGAGGAAAAATTATTATTATGTAGTTAAATATTAAATTTAGGTACGCCTTAGCCACCAACTGCACGCAGAAAATGTGTAACTTTAAGGTATCGGAGCGAAGCTTCAATAATAAATAATTGGATACCTATATATAACTACTATACATTGGTACGGTGCAACTCGTTTGCGCACAATCCAAATTGTTTACCTAGATATCGATGACTCGTTTGCGCACAACGAATACCGTCGTTAAAATAAAAACGGACGACTCGTTTGCGCACAACATAAACACTGCATAACATATATTTTATATTTTTAAATTTGGACTAACTTAAGTAATTGATTATCAGTACATCAGCATATCAATATTCAATATATCATTATCATCATTGAAAATAATCGACGTGTATTAAACATAATATTTTTAAGCAGTCGTTCTCCAGAAAGCGGTACTACCTACTGACTAGTGACTATGGATATCGAAATTTGTGATATTTTTGAAAGAGAATTTCGAACTTTAAAATCTAGTGATACACATTTTAGGTGTACAAATAAAAAATGTTCCTTGAGTGATGTAGTAAGGTTAGTTAATAATAAAAAAATATAAAATTTTAAAAATTAAAAACACGCATAGAACCACTATTACTTCTTATTAATTGTATAATTATATATTTATTCAGAACAGACACACACGACATGCACATTTTTAATCTGTACAAAACAGATGGTCCTAAGCCTATATTAAAGTGAGAAGAGAAATGTGCTGTTCTGCTCAAAGTGAAATGTGCGCAAATGAGTTGTACCTTTATAATTTAAACCCAAAATATGTGTGCGCAAACGAGTTGTGATTTTGTGCGCAAACGTGCCGTAAAAAAGGTAAATGTGCGCAAACGAGTCGCACCCACATTGGTATTATAAAAAATATATATATATTTATTTTAATGTTAAATGTAAAATGACTCACAAATATTTCAATTGTATTGACACTAGAAAGAGTAGTAAATCTGAAATGGTGTATAAGCTAATAAAAAAAATCTATAAAAATGACAATTTTCCTAAACACCATTAATTTAAATTAATATTGTAACAATCATAGAAAACTATGAAAAAAAAAAACATTTTAAAATTAATAATATATTTCTTTCTCTGAATAATAATAGTGTATACAATAAAAAACGATAAAAAGCATCGTGGTGACTATATAATATTATAAATACCTATTGTTGGACATCTAGACATTTGTTATAACTTATAACTTAAATACTGGAAATGGCACTTTTTTAGTTCATTTATTTATTGATCAAACCATATATTTTAATATATGAATTAATTATATAGAGTTTCATTCAAAATAAACAAATTATATTAATTACGATATAGCATCAATCTACATAAAATAAAATAGAATAGAAACTGATAGAGAGTAGGTACGACTGTACTAGAATATGATAAGTTGTAATTAAATACAGAATATGGATTTTTTAGTAAAAATGGACTGTAAGATAATCAAGAGAAGCATTTCCTCGAAATGATCTTGTGCATTCAAGGAGGAAATGGGGAATGTCACAGATTTACTATAATAATTAGTAGCTATAGTGTGGGGAGCACATTGAAGAGTCATTAAGTATTTTTAGAATTGTTGACATTAATGATATCGGTCTGTCATTTTTTTTCCAAACCGCAATAAATCAATTGGTTTAAACATTCATAATAATTAGGTATTGGATATAAAAAATAAAATCACATTTTCGAATAAAGAACTAAATAAGACGTAAGCACGTATTTTTGATTTTCAATATTATTTAATCAAATGAGTTTAATCTTATGAGTACAACTGTAAACTTAATTCGATTCACCTACCGCTGGCCGGTACCCACAATCCACATGATATACAAAAAATAATTCCAAGTAACTCAATACTGAAATCAAAATATGATAAAACTTACTTTTGCCCTTTTACTACTATATAAAATTATTTATATTGTTTGCCTGAATAGAGTATTACAAGCATTCTGATATAGTTATAAAGAAGACTACCTACTGAACTAAGTAAAAACTATTTTGTAAGTTTCTGGTTTCAGCGATTCTATAAAATAAATAACAAATTTCACATATAGGTAGGAATACTCTCAGCGGCGGATTGGCTAAAAATTTCGGCCCGGGAAATAACCGTATGATCGGCCCACCGTCCAAAAATAATAATTGTCCATTAAAAAATTTTTTTTTTAGTCATTGTCTTATTTATTTCATAATAAATATTATATTTTTATTTAATATAATATCCACTCACTTACCTTTACTTTTTGCATCAGTGCTCATGCATCATGCAATGTGCACGTATAAAACAATATTAAAACAAATTTCATCTTCAATTTCATCATGATCATTATTGTCTTTGTCACTATAAGGCTGCATTGTTGTTTAGTACGACTAGGATACTGATTTTTTTAAATACTTCCAATTAACAGCAAAACTTAATAGTTCTGACTTCAGATTTTCATGTGTAATATCGTGATCAATTTTTTTTTAGTTTTAAGGCAAGATTGACAAAAGCTTCGTTTGATAGTTTAGAATTAATATGCTGAAAGTTTTGAGGTGAAAGCCAAGATAAATCAGTGTAAATCTGAGAGTTTGATACAAATCTTTTTTCCATACTACTAACTACCCCATCCATTACAACATTGTACACTTCTACTTTGAATTTTAAATATGGATCGCTAATAGGGTCATCTTCAACTGATTCAAAATGTTGTTTTTTTTTTCGAA